TATATATATATACACACACACACACATACATACACACACACACACATACATACACACACACACACTGTTTGGGGAGTAAAACATATTACGGAGTATGGAAAAATGCACTAACCTGTCTCTATTAATTGTTTAAGAATCTCAAACTACCGGCAAAATATCCCATAAAAGTCAGATGACCAGTCTGATGGTCTAAATATAGGTTAATAGAATGTAGGATTTGAAGGAAATTTAAAGATTATCTTGTGTTCAATACAGTACTTTCATTCATAAATCATAAGGTATCAGCACCACTCAAGATATAGGGACCTGGATTACCAGATAGATTCTGATGAGAGGTCTCTCAAGACCTAGTTCAGGATTTGGATACACACACAGACAGACATATAGCAGAGTTGGGACATCTGTACAAATAACTTGCAATATCCATGATCTGAAGTTTCAGAAAGCAATAGAACAACAAAACCTCAAATCCCTCAGAGTCACAAGCAGTTTGAATATCCTAGAGCATCCCAGGGTTTGACACACAGGTCAGGCATTCAGCAAGATCCCAGATGACCAAAAAATGCACTTGTCAGAACATCTTGAAGAGGTAAGTCCCCAGTTCCTGAACGTTCTATGATAGGAAGAAACTCACCCTTTCCTCTTTGATCTTTCCATGGCTAGCAATGGCTCAAATGGCTCCTTGTCTTGTTTCAAATTCATCCTTTCTCTTCATCAGTTTTCCATCTTATGGCTATTCATTTGTGTCACCTTTGATAAATTTTAAATCATTTCCCATTGATAATATTTCTATTAGTGAAACTGTACTATTCTTGTTAATTTATAAGTGAACCACTGATATGTTGAAATGTAGATATCAGGGAGATCATGCTGCCCTTCATCATTTGCAACAGATTTGAATTGTACTTCTTTTCATAGATTTTGGAATATCCTATAACTTCCCCCAACATTTGTGAAAATTGTCTTCCCCAAGATTTGTAAAAATTCTTCAGGAATTTGTTTATCTTGTGGATCTATCACAGAAGGAAAGACGCCATACCACATAAAACAAGCAAGTTTACATATTTTTTGCCACCATGTAATGCAATACATATACTACAACATGTAGAGCCAGATAATAATCTAAACTTTTTCCTTTTCCTTCTAAAAAATGTGTAGAGTACCATATGTTTCAGACTGTACTGTAAGTCGGAATGATTTCAGTATTTTGCAAGAAGTAATTCAAACTATTGAAAATAAGTTTTAGCACCTCTGTTTACCAAAAAAGATTCCAAACACTTGCTTCCCAGTCTCAACTTGGAAAGGGAAGGAAGCTAAGGGCAGGGAGTGAAGGTCTCTTTTGTTATACTCCAAATATTAGCTTTTCTGGAGGGAGGGGGTATGAAGGATTGAACCTAGGGGCACTTAACCACTGAACCACATCCCCAGCCCTTTTTATTTTTTATTTGGACACAGGGTCTCACCAAGTTGCTTAGGGCCTCAATAAATTGCTGAGACTGGCTTTGAACTTGGATCCTCCTGCTTCAGCCTTCTGAGCCCCTGGGATTACAGTCATGCACCATCAAGCCCAGCAATTAACTTTTAATCTACCATAAATATCACATACACTTTTCTCCATTTGTGCTTGTCCTTTCATTTTCTATCTGGCATTTTTTTGCAACATAACTTTTAATATATTCTAATTTATCAATATTCTGCCTTTGTTATTATGCTTAAAAATACCTTCCCTTTCATGTACATTCATGTACATTTTCTTATAGTATTTTTACTATATATTTAAACTTTTTAACATTCACAAAAATTCAAGATTTGGTTTTGAAATATAACATAAGAACTTAATCTTTTTTCCCAGATAGTTAACTAATTAGGATTATTAGATATCACAAAGTTATAATAATCAGAGGTCCCGAGCAGTTCTAACAGAAACATATGAGCCACATATGTAATCTAAATTGTTATTATATGTATTATATTTTACATTAAAAAGTAAGAAGCAAGTGAAATTAATTTCAATAATATACTTTATTTAACCTAATACATCCAAAATATTATCATTTCAATATGTGACCATTGTGGGAAGGAAAAATGGTGGAATAACATGTATGATTGAATGAATAGGTGTGACCCCATTTCGTGTACAACCAGAGAAGTGAAAAATTGTGCTCCATTTGTGTACAATGAATCAAAGAGCATTCCACTGTCATGTATAACTGATTAGAATAAAGTTTTAAAAATAAAAAAATTTTTAAAAGAATTCATCAATGAACCAAAACAAAAACCAAAAATATATGTGACCATCATCAAAAATTATTTATAAGATATTTCATGTTCTTTTTTTGTACTGAATCTTCAAAACGTGATATGTATTTCATATGTACAACAAATCTTAGTTCACCTAGTCACAATTCCAACAGCCATAGGTGGTGGATAGCTACTGAACCAAATAGCATAGGTCTTCAGCAATTTCTCATCCTCAGCACTGTTGATATTTTGAACCTAATAATTCTTTTTTGTGGACTGTCCTGTACATCGTAGGGTTTCTAGCTGCATCCCTGACCTCTACCCAATAGAGATGAGTAGCTCATCCCCTCAGTTGTTGCAAATGAAAAGGTCTCCAACATTGCCACAGATGTCCCTGGGTGAGGGACAAAACTGTTCCTTGTTGAAAACAAAAGGACTAGAAAAACTAGGGGGCAAAAATGTTGAAAATGAATCTTAGGATGATCTGAGAGAGAATTTTCATTTAGAAGCTAATATTACTATAGTCACTGAACCATGACAATAATTTATAATAATGGAAAATCTATTGAGTTCCCATGTTCTAAATTCACAAAAAGGGAAATGAGGAACTGATAGGAGGAGGAGGAGCAGAAAAGGAGGGAGATGGGAAGAAAAAGAAGAGAGAAAAGAAGGAGGAGACAGCTTTTATCTTTATGCTTACTTTGGGCTCCTATCCACAGCCTAACTTGGTGGCTGGAATCAACATGTAGGCATTTCAAAAAAAACTGAGAATCTTGAGTTTGAAAATAAGCCAATGTTGGGGTACCTAAATGCATCACAAAGTGCTTATGGGTTCAGGTTGTTGGGGGGCAACTATTGCTGTGCAATCCTAGAATTGTCTTAAGATTCCTTCAAAAAAGAGCATTTAACATCAAAAATAATGAGCAAAGGAGCCTAAACTCTATATGAGCTAATCTCTTCCAAAATCTCTCTTATCAACCAGGACCTCAAGAATTGGAAGTCCCAAGTAACTGTGATGTTTTCAAATTATTTCATTTTTTTATGTGTCTTTTAAAAAGGCAGAGAAACTAAACTTACAGCATTGATTTATTCAAGGAAAAGAGAAGAAAGAAGGGGTAAAGAAAAAAAGCGGGGGATGGAGGGAAGAAAGGGGTAGGAGAGAGGAATTAAATCAAGAGCACATTCTGGAATTTTTAACATTCATTATAATCCTATTCACCTGGATTTATGTGGGTCTGTACCATATTCAAAATGTTGACCCATTTGCACTGGGAAATCCTGTATTATCAGAAAATACTCTATTATTTTCATTCTACTTCACAGTTTTAAGTTTATTAACAGCAAGAGCTAAAATCTTTAAGGTTCCTGTTTATAAAGGATTTCCTCTAATTGGCTGAGCTCATTGGAAGATACTAATGACCTAGCTGTTGGGCGTCTATAATAAGTACCCTGGGTACAGCAGACAACAACCTACTTATTTCCAAGTATCTTCCCATGGACAATTGGGGCTACTGGTACAGGAGGAATCTTTCCAGTGGCTCCGGCAGATGTAGCTTGTGGATGGCTTGATGACATGCTCGACCCAAGCATTTCCGGACACACAGGCGGCAGAGCTGGGAAAGAGTAGGTGGGCCTGAGAGAGGGAATAAAAATGGTGTGAATCTCATGGTGGCAGGGAATCCTTATTTGCCCCTCTAGAAGAGATGCTTTTCTTTAAGTTGATCTTCCAATTGTATTACCAACATCAAAGAATGAGGCTATCCAGAGGCAGTTAGGAAAGAAGTGAGGGGGTATAAAGAGAATGCACCTCATTTATGTGCCCTGTGCTAATGAACAGTGATATACTGAACAAGGAGAAAATGCAAATGACTATAGCATGCAAGACCCCAAGACAGAGCTGCAGACCAGAACAACTGCAGAAAGGGTGTCAACAGGAATTTTGACCTGTGTGGCCACAGAGGTAGTATTAAGAGATGGGCCAGGGGCCCATCTTAATGTCTTCCTGGACCTCCTGACACTAGTTGGCCATGAGGTGGTATTGGCTGGGTCCTATCTCACACCCAGAGGGACCCTCCATTCTTGCAAAGATTTCAGCTCAATAAGGATGTGCAGAAAGAACTTAAAGCACTTAGACCCCATAATTCCCTGAACCTCACTTTCATGGGGTCTCAGAGTGCTCGTGTCCATGACTTTCAGTAGCTTTGAATCCTTAAGGAAAATAAGTTGATGAGAGTTCAAAATATAGATGAATAGGATGAATGAGCTCTGAGTTGCAATTCTAGTTCTACAGGGGCATTCATATTATCCCATTATTTCCTAACCTACCAGTAAAGATCTCTTCAAGTATATCTAACTACTGACCTGTACAAACTTTCCCTCATGATAAATGGTGGATTGAAGGGCTGAGAGTATAGCTTAATAGTGAAGTGCTTGCCTAGCATATGTGAGGTCTTGGGTTCAACCTCCAGTACCACAAAGGAAAAAAAAGGTAGACTGCATATGCAAATATCCAGGTAACACTTAGAATGACATTGACAAGGAACATCCATGGATAGAGAGGTACCTGGAAGATGAATATCTTCAGTTAAAATCTCGGGAATCAAAAACATCTCTACCTGTCACCCCTTACATCTAGGATCAAACTTTTAGAATTAACAAAATAACTGAGCTCTTCTGAAAAACAGTAACATGGACAAATTGTCCTGTTTGCCTGGAGAAGTTCAGACATGAGTGAACTTGGCATAGCTGATGTTCCTCCTTTAGAGCAGGTGCCTATATTTATAAAGATAGCACACAGAGGAACTTGCTTATAAGAATGTAAATCCTAGACCTGGAAACATTTTTGATGGAAGAAAACCAGAAATGTGACAACTGCTATAAACTATATACTCAACCAATCATTGCAAAGTACCTGGTAAGGAATATCATAATTATTCTGGTGAAGATTCAAGTAAAACAACAATCACTAATGACATAGACCACTGGAAATAATCTAGACCAATAGTGCTCAAAGTGTGGTCCTTACACCAGCAGCAGCAGAATCAACTGGAAAGTTATTAGGTATGCAGAGTTTAATCCTAGACCTCCAGAATCAGAATCTGCTTTTTAAATGAGATCCCCAGGTCATCATCTATATATGCATGAAAGTTTAAGAAGCACTGGTGTAGAGAGACTTCCTAAAATGATTTTAAAAAGCATTCTACTTGGAAGATATTAGACATGGGAGTGAGTTCACAAAATGGAACCAGCAAGTGATATGAGACCCACACACACCGGAAATTGTTCTAGAAGCTTCAGGATTGGGGCCTTACAGCATTAAGAGAGAATGTTCTGGGGTCAGACAGCTGGATTAGAATCCTAGTCCTACTTCTTAGTAGCTATGTCACTCTCTGCAAGCCAATCTCTCCATGCTTTAATTTTCCCATTTGCAGCTGGCACAGCACCAGCTACTATAAGGTTTTCACTGCTTTTAAGTTTAAAGAATTCAGTGAGATTAATCTATGTTTCAAATTCATCTCAGTGCTGGCCCAATTTATCTTTAATATTCTCCCCAGCATACATATGATCAATGAAGGCTCACAAAATGTCTTCTTACTACACAGACATAATAGGGTTCTCTTTTGAATTTGAGACACCAAGCATTTTAGAAGGTTACTATTCCTTCCCCGGTACTGATAGTTGCTCTTAACGTTCATGATGGAAATAGAAGTGAGGAGATGAGGCACATAGAACCACATACTCCTCAATCTGGAGAAAAGGCAAACAATCTCACCATTTAGTTAGGCTTCTGAAATACACATTCTGTCCCTTCTACTGCCCCAAACTTAAGTATGGTCACGTGTCACCTAAAAATGGGATAAGTTCTGAGAAATGAATCATTAAGCACTTTCAACATTGTGCAAACATCATAGAATGTACTTATACAAACCAAAATGGCTATGATGTCACTATATGATATAACCTCATGAGACAATGGGTTGAATATGCAGCTCAACATTGACGGTTGTTATGAGGAATGTGGCTGTATTTCTAATTTGCCTATGGATTGTCTCCCAATATTACAAAGTGGACTTTTGGTTTGCTTAATCATGTGCATATGATAGGATATCCCTGGATATTCAACCTTTTCAGGATGCCAACAAGGTTGTCTGATTATTTTCTTTTTATGGAAAATAAAAAGCAATGATCTGATTGCATGTCAATGTTATTTTGTTATTAAGTGAATGAATGCAGCATATAAAATCCCAGAAGACATGTAGTGATGCCGGAACTTGATGCCTTCTGCAATATCATCCCCAATTGGGAAAAGGAAATATTGCAAGGATGTGGCAGGAAGGAGAGATAGCAAGTGGGCTTAAGGAAAAGAAGTGGACACCCAGCCCTTCCTTACCTTCTCGGAGTAGGAGTGCCTGCTCTACACTACTTTTGGGAATTGCCAGATCAAGAGCACTTTTTCCCTGTGCATTTCTGAGCTTCAGATTAGCCCCATAGTCGGTCAGCAGGTGGATGATCTCTACGCTGGACTGCCTTGCTGCAGCATGGAGAGGGGTGTCCAGCCATTGGCCATGGTCAACACTGGCTCCTTAACAAAGGAAATGGCCACAATTCAACATTAGGTATGAATGTAAAACACAATCAGCCTAATCTGTAGTCACTGTATATGAAGTCTTCTCAAATGCCATGACATATTTGACAAATCCTTGAAAATATGTAACTTCAGCCTAGAACCTCCACAATGCCCACTAAGACCATTCAAAATAGTGGGATTAAAAAAGTGAATCTGGATAATTTTAATCATTTTAAATAGTTTACTTCCTTTCCCACACAAAATGCTTTATATACATAGTTATTTTACATAGTAAATAACTAGTACATAGTTATTTTATATTTTGACCAAGTATAAAGCTGAATTTCCTTATTTTTATATTGTATTTAGTTCTCTTATTTATTTATTTCATTTTTTTATATTATTTAGGGCTCAAAAATTTTTCTGAACTCCATAAAGAATAGTAAATCTATGAATAAAAAATGACCAAAGAACATCTTAGAGATAGAAATTCTCAACTAAAGGTTCTGACTACAATCTCTGCCTTTATGTCAAAGGCTAAGCACATTGAATCTTTAACCAAATGATACTTCTAAGATATTTTACTTTTCCCTAAAATCTCAGTTTCTGTATATGTCTTTTAGATTTAAAAATGACTAAATAACTTTTCAGGATAGAGGTAAAATAGTCTGTAGCAAATATCTGTTGTTTTTACTGTACAGCATCTTCCTGGTAACCACAGCTAGATTTCCCTCTAGGTTACCACCTTCTTGTGATTTCCAGTTTACGTGTTTCTAGAGAAGCCTAATAACTACAGATTAATCTAAAATCTAGGCCTAAACCAACTAGCATATTGTATTCCTTTGGCCACCTTTATTGGTTCAGAGATAAGTATGTGAATCAAAAAGAGCCAATACTGGGCTGGGGATATAACTTAGTTGGTAGAGTGCTTGCCTTGCATACACAAGACCCTGGGTTCAATTCCCAACACCACAAAAAAAAAAGGAAGGAAAAATAAAAGAGCCAATACCCCTTCTTGCTGTGTATGGATGAAAAAGGCAAAAAACCCAGATGTTGCAGTAGCCATCTTGAGACCACCAGGAAGAGCCATAGCAGATAATTGAAGCCAATATCAAAGGGAGCAGAACTGATAAATATAGACACCCATTTCTCTGGAGAAGTTCTGTTTTTAGCATTCAAGCATCAAATGCTATTAGAATTTTTTTCTATCCTAATAAGAACTTCATCTTTGAAGCCATTGAAAAACCCCACAAATTTAGCAGGTTCTTTTCATAAAAAGATTTCTGGTAATTACCTAATTCTAGAAGCTTCTTCACACAGTCTACCCTCTGGTAGGTGCAGGCTACATACAGGGGAGTTCCAAGCTGAGGCACCTCTTGGTCAATGTTAACATTATTTGCCAGCAGAATCTCCATGCACTCCCTGTGACCTGGTGGAGCATAAGATATTCCCATTCATATTAGGAACACATTGAATATTCCCAGAATTATACATTCATTATCTGGAATGAGCTTTAGAAATAACCCAGGTCTCTCTTCATAGTAGAAAAATGTTTTTGTTTGGTTTTGGAAATCATAGATATAAATTCCCCAAACAAAAACGACAAAGAAGAACAGCATGCCCATGCTTCTTTTTTTAAAGGATATTTAAAATTTAAAACATTATAATGATGCATAGTATTGGGGTTAATTTTGACAGAATCATACATGCAAGAAATTTTATTTCAATCCCCATTTCCCCTCCCCCCTTTCCTCCCCTTCTTCCTCCCCCTATTTTCCCTCTTCTACTCTACTAAACTTCCTTTCTTCTACACATACATAGGGTGAAATTTCCTTTGATAACTTTATATATAAATATATAACATGATTGTGTTAAATTCAATCCACTCATCTTCCCCTTTCCCATCCTTCCTCCCTCTTGTTTTCCTTCTTCTACTCCATTGGTCTTCCCTGTATCTTCATGATATCTGATCTCCTCCCTGACCACCTTCTTTCCTTTGTTCTGCTCTAGCTTCCACAGATGAGAGAAAATATTTGACTCTTGCTTTTCTGAGTCTGGCTTATTCCACTTAACATGACGTTCTCCATTTCTATCCATGTGCCAGCAAATGTCATAGTTTTATTCTTTATGTCTAAGCAAAACTCCATTGTGTATATATACCACATTTTCTTGATCCATTCATCTATTGACATGCATCTGGGTTGATTCCATAATTTGTCTATTGTGAATCGTACTGCTGTACACATTGAGGTGGTTGTATCACTATAGTGTGCTGATTTTAGTTCTTTTGGCATGGAATAGTTGATACCCATGCTTCTTCCACTCAAACTCCTCTGTGTAATTCCTGAGAAAACTCCAAGCAAACTAAGCCTCTGAGGAACACAGTTGAAATCACTTTCTAGAATGAAGACACCATTTTACAATGGAGGCTACAAGACCCAGAGGGGTAAATGAAGACACTCTGCTATTACCCTGAAGACAGTGGTGAGACTGGGGGTGTGGCCTGCAAGCTTACTTAGGTTAGCCTAGAAGATACCTATGAAGATGAATAAAAAGTCTCATGTATATAATATATTTAAATACACTTTGAAAATAAATGACTAGCAAGATTATGAAAGTAAGCATTCTCCTTGGAGAGTTTGCCCAATGAAGAGACAGACAAGATTAATTTGCAGTATATGAATGATCGGCTCAGGAGGGAATACTTCTGAGGTATTGATGGGAGCTTATAAAAATTCAGTTCTCCTTGAAGACTTAAATGTATCCTTAAACAATCTTATCATCACTAATTTAACCAACCTTTTCTTTATAGATAACATGATTTTCATCCTATACTTGCATGATTTATCACAAATTCTGAATTAATCATAAGTATGCATTACAATGTACCAATCAGGATTTGTGTATTCAAAGTATTTGGTCACATAAATAAATCTTAAACCTGGACTATAGTATCAATATATCAAGATACTGACTCAGACTATGACCCAGCCTGCCCATAGATGTTTAAAGCTAAACAGTTTCTGGAAAAAAAAAATCTAATCAGTGCCTAAAATTGCCTAACAAATACAAGGCATTTTTTAAATAATTCTTGCCTTTTTTGGCAGAACAGAAAAATTAGCCTAGTTTGAGGTAAATTTAATAGTCTCAGGAAGTTTTAAAAAATGAACAAATAAAACTTAATGACTAAAAATTCATATAACAATATCTAAAACAATGAATTTGCTAAGCCTTCTTCCATTCTATGCATATTGTTCCTTAACGAGCTTTTATGAAACAGAAAAAATATGTAGAGATATAAACTTGTAGGCACACAGATACAAAACACCCTATACATAATCAGGCAAGCACTACAGAATTACTTAAGAAATTTGAGCTAGGCACAGTGGCACACGCCTGTAATCCCAGGACTCAGGAAGCTGAAGCAGGAGGTTACAAGTTCAAGGCCAGTCTTAGCAACTTAGTGAGACCCTCAGCAACTCAGTGAGAACCTGTCTCAAAAAAACAAAAACAAAAATAAAAAGGTCTAGGGTGTAGCTTAGTGGTAAAGCACCCCTGGTTCAATCTGAAGTACAAAAAAAAGAAAAAGAAAGAAAGAAAAATTTGAATTATTCCCAATATTTGTCTATTTTTAAACATTTGAATGTACATGCAAGTAACCTTTTTTACTTCAAATCATTATTAAAATTTTTAAAGACTTTCATTTTCAAAATAATTCATTATTCTGCAATTTAAAGGATGCTTGGGAAATGGCTCACATTATTAATTAATAAATAAATATTTATTAAGAATGTTTTATACATAAAAGACATAGATATATTGAGATTTGGGTCTTTTGTTTCATTTAAAGTAATCCACTGGGGAAAAATACCAAATGACATGTTTATTAACCTGGGGGCAAATCTTTCACTTTTGCCTTTTGAAGTAAAGACTTTCATCTTCAAGTACACCAGCAAAGACCTATTCTAGATTGTTCTAACTTCTCCATTGTATTTCTGATTTTAATATAAGAGAAGTATCTGTATTGCTAGACATCACCAAAATGTTGCATTTTGGGTATGAGCTTTGACAAACGACCTTATCTTTTTAATTACATCTTTTATTGTTCATGACTAGTCTATGCATATAGTTTGAAAATTCCTTAAAATCACTCTTTTTTTTCTCATTTCAAAAGTAATGGACAATGCAGGAGTCTAGAGTCAACTTCAAAATTTCCAATGCCCTGATTTTTCAAGTTAAAATGCTTTTCTTTTTCTTTTTTTTCCGTGACTATGGCCTTGAAGTCATCAGCTCATCTGAAGTGTATTTCTTAAGGACAGTTACATTTACTAATCCATTAGAGATAGTATCATCCTTGGCTTTCAGGCATTTTCATAATTTATTTTATGTTAGTGGTTGATATTTTATGGGTTTTGGAAGATGAGCTGTTCTTTTCTACTAAAGGGCAGAGGCATAAGCTCAGTATAAATCATGAAGTTACAACTTCTGTCTTGGCTGCACTAGCTGCTCCCAAAACACCAGCAAAGAGGCTTAGGAAGAGGGACATCTGAAATACAAAAACATTCCAATGTATTGAGAAGAGCCTTTTCTTGCCACAGTGGCATTTCTGAAAGATTTAGACAAATTGTAGGATTTCTAAGCCACACACATTCTGTTGGTGAAAAGATCTGGGTGACTCTCATATGGCCAACAGTAGTCTATTGATTCATACAGATTGGAGTGAGCACACCACTGTTTTGTGTGCATTGTGGTGGCTCGTTTACCTCTCTTCACTGCCTCATGGATAGGTGAAGCCAGGTGCATCTCAGGCTGGGCCTTGGCTCCGAACTCCAACAGCACATTGACACACGCAGCACTGCCACTGCAGCACGCATTGAAGAGGGGCGTGGCTCCATGAACTGTCACTCCATTGACCTAACAGTGGGCAAGGAGAGACCCAGAGGATTTGGTAGTTTGTTCTCACTCTCTCTAAGTATGTATTCCTGTGTATGTGCCTAGGGAAACTCCCCAAGTTAATGAATGAGTGAGGGAACTCCCTTTACATGAAACTACACAAGGTTATAGGACGGTCCATTAAATTACTATATGTTAAACAGAATATTGCCTGGCACTGAATGAACATTTGCAACGACTATTATTCCCATTTCCAATTAATATGAAGCTCATCTCCCTTTTCAATTGTGAACAACCATGGCAGAAACCCAAAGAAATAGAGATACCAACTAACTTAACCCATTAAGTTCCAAGTTCTCAATTCTGTGAATATTTCAATGAAATTGATATAAGTACATTAAAATAGGTAGGAAATCATAACCTAGAACTTATGTATCATTTATATATAATCATAAATATGATACATATATATTTCAAATGCTCTGATCATTTACCTATGATTTTTTTCTAAGATAATAGATCTTTGAAAAAACAATAATTATTTCAAAGTTATAATAAGTGGTATATTTGTTGCTCAATTTAAGTATTTATATCTGGGATAATGGGACAAAAATGGGTGAAGCTTCCAAATCCTGTGCTTGCAGAAAAAACTCCTTCACAACTTCCAACAGTTCTGCCATCCTTCTTGTCACATATTTTCTCTCTGTTCTATTATAATCTACAGAAATCGCACATGCCAGCTTTGACTCCTGAGAGATAATGACCAAGCTAAAGGCACATAGACAATAGCCTTCAATTATCTCTAATCATCCTTGTTAACTTCTAGTGATATGGGAAACACATGAGAACCTGCAGGACTGGGAAGTATCATTGAGTATCAACAATAGATAGAAAAGAACACCATGGGACCCAGGTATTCAGGAAGGGAGGCTCTGATATGATTCAAATGTCATATCACAATGGTAGTTTGACGTCAAAGTGCTTGACCTCAATAAGTAAAGATAGATGCTTGGAATAATCAGGATTCTAAATTATCTTATTTAGAAACAAAAATGACTTGTCTCCAGGGCTCTGGTATAACCCCATTAAAATGGCACAAACAGACAAAGATGGAGAAAATTGCATAAAAATCATATGCTAGGGATTTCTTACTAAAAAAAAATTCATGAAACTGGTTTGATTTGTTTTTTAATAAGCACCATCCTTATCCTCTGTCAGGAAACTCTTTGATTTCCTGTAAGTTTCTCTCCTGGTTCATATCAGCAAACATTTACTGAGTATCTACTAGGGGCCAATATTTTATAAACAAAGATAAGTAAGACAATTGCCTCTCTTTAAGTAGGTTGAGTTCTATTAGGGAAGACAAACATAAAAAGAGACAATTTAGATACAACAAGTGTTTTAGATCTCTATGGGAGTGGAACAAAGAAGAACATAGACTTGAGAAATACAAAGGAAAATAGAAATATTTTGTGATTAAATAAATAAGAAAATGGCAGGAACAAGATGACTCCCAGGCATGGGAGACCAGAAGAATGTTTCGCCTAGTATCTGAAACTGGGAGCCCAAGATGAGGAGCAGATTCCAGCAGGAAGAACATGATATACACAGTTTCAGATGTGCTGAGTTTGAGGAATCCGAGCATCAGCAGCTTGTGGTGAACTTTCTACTGCTTGACCAAACTTTCACTCATTCTGATTTAATGTCAAGTGGTATAATACGGCATTTATTGGCTTTTACCTTATAAAATTGCCAAAGACAAGAGTCCATTGTCTTATCCTTTGCTTTGTCCCCCACAACATCTCTTCTCTGACCAGAGAGAAATATTCAACATTTCCCACCAGTGATCTGCTTGTGAGTCCAGTCATTTAGCTTGAAATGAAATCACCCTCCCAGAGCCTTGTCCTCATCATTACCCATGAGTTAAGTGACAACTTAGAGAAGCACTATCTAACGGAAATGCAGCACCATGATGACACTGTAAAAATCAATTTGTGCCCAGAAGACTTTTATATTCAGTTCTAAATGTAGAAACCTAACTTCCATATGCAATCTGAAAAAAATCATCATTAAATACTTAAAGATCTTACAACTTTGGCTGGGTATATAGCTCAGTTGGTAGAGTGCTTGCCTCACATGCACAAGGCCCTGGGTTCAATCCCTAGCACCCCAAAAAAGGAAAAAGATATTACAACTCATAAAACAAAGAACATGAGACTAGATTAAACAATGAAATTAGCAATAAAGCATTTTCTGGATGTCATTGAGATTTGCAGAAGTTTTGATTTTCATAAGCCTATTCTGAGAGCTGTTTTATACATAGCACCTCTGCTATTATTTGAAGAAATTAAGATATAAGTTAAAATAAGATAAACCTTAATCTGTTTTAATGTATTATTTATTAAAAACTCAATTTTATAATTTTGCTCAGTAAAATAGTGGCTGGGGTAGAATATTGAATTAAGAGTGTTCTATTATTCTGTTAAAATTTGTTCTTTATCGTGTTTGATAACAAAGAATTTTTTTTAAAGTCAGCATCACAGGGAAGTAGCTCAGTGATAGAACAGTTACCTAGCATGCATGAGGCCCAGGGTTCTATCCCCAGCACCACAAAAAAAACAAGTCAACATCATAATTTTGAAAAATTCCTGTGAATTACTGCATCTGGATATTCGCACATGGTTAGGCTGAGAAAATAGAGTAACATGAATGATGAGACATGAACATGCGTGGGATAAGACCTGTCTCCACCCAGTCCCTCTCAGCAGTCTGGAAGATGCTGTCTCTTTAGGTGTTACAAGATGTACCTACGAAGACAGATCCATGTGGGCAGGGGTGGTACTCACATGTGCACCATTTTCCAATAAGGCTTTAGCACAAGCCACATGTCCTCCAAGGCATGCCTCATGGAGAGAAGAGACCCGATTAATTGTCACAAGGTTCACATTGACACCCTATAATTTGAAGAGAAGATAATTAAATGTTCCATTAGTCATAGCAGTGAAAGCAATGTTGTTCTACAGGTTCTTGATGTTTTCAGTCTTTGGTTGTAATAGCAGCACTGCATAGAGAGGAATCAAGACCATGACCAGGTGAAGTCTCAGCACAGCATGGGAGTTTCAATTTCATTTATTCAATAAATGTTTATGCAGTATTCTGGATCAGGGTCTTCAAAATGTATGCTACTGGTCTGTCTCCTCCAGAGCCTACTGGGCAGGCAGAAATGAAACCTAAAAGACTGAGATTGGAAGCACCACATTTCACTTGGGAGCACAGAGTTTCCTTGAGTCTGGCTTGGGAAATAAGAAAAAATACTTCACAAATAAGGTAGTATTTAACTAAGGCTTGAAGCATAAAAACTTTAAAACTGGGAAGACAGGGTATGCCATTAAGAGGGAACAGAATACACAAATGCAGGAAGTATGGCAGGGCCACAGTTGGACAGTTGGTTATTTCTGGATCAGAAAGAGCATACAGAAAGGGGAAGTAGAAGATGGGGAGAGATGCAGGAAGCCAGTGAACTGAAGCAATATCATGAAAGGCCTTGATTTGCAAACAGGGAGTGCAGATCTTCTAGGGAATGAGGCATCTATAAGTTTATTAGGCTTTGAATAATCTAGAGCTAATAGATTAGCTGTTTTAGGAAAAGCATAGTGGAAGCAGTAACATGGATGGCTGATGGCAGAGGCAGAGATGTGAGGCAGAAGCAAGGAGAGCCACAGAGACATTGCTATAGGGTAAGATGAGTAGGTGATGGAACACAGAGGAGGTTGGGAGCTTAAACTAGGTCTGAAACAGAAGAATGACTCTGGGCTTAAAAGTAGAAAGTTCCGTATGAGTGCTTCTAAGAGTCACTTGCTGTGTGGTAGAAGTACTGCTTTGGCCATAACCCCACTACATGGAGAAGACTCCTAAGTCCCAGGATCTAGGGCCAGAGGGATTCTCCTAACCCTCATCTACTTACCTAGGTATGATTGTCACCACCATTTCCTAGCCTATTCCCCCTTCTCATACTGCCGTGTACCACCTTGCTTATACTAGAGTCCAAGTGACAGGTGACAAGGTCAGCCTAGCTGCTGGACAACTCTGCCTTCACACCCTGATTTTAACAACTTGGCTGTTACCATTTCCTCTATGATTGACACTTTCTATCTGCAAAAGGAATTAGGTCCCTGATCTGTCCTTCCTGCCAATTCCTGATTTTCAGTCCATGCTTTGTAATGACCTATTGAAAGCTTCCAAAGCCTTGTGTTACAATCCCAGAATGGCAAACTCCAATCTAGTACTCACTGCATCCTGCCACATCTCTGTAGTGTCAGGTGCAACCTGCTGTGGCCAGGTTTTTATTGCCTGTCCTTTCATCATAAGGGCTTTCTATGTCTCCTGGATTCTGTCCATTTTCATGTCCTGAATATATCATTACTCTAGAGCTGTGCTACATATTTCAAATTCAGTATCTAATAAATTAATCTTTTCCTTTTTGTTTCTCCATGTATGATTTGTTTTTAAATTTTTTAAAAAAATATTTATTTTTTTAGGTGTAGATGGACACAACACAATGCCTTTATTTTTATGTGGTGCTGAGGACCGTACCCAGGTCCCACCCATGCTAGGCAAGTGCTCTACTGCTGAGCCACAATCCCAGCCCCTGTTTTTAAATTTTTTATTGTCACATTGTAATTATACAGAATAGTGGGATTCATTTTGATTTCTTTTTAAGAAATTAAGATTTTAAAACAGTCTAGTCCATGAGGTGGCAGCATTGTGCTAGGGAAAAATAATTGCTGCAATACAAAATCTCAAAATCCCTGGAATTGGAGAAATGTAATGGATAGGCCTAAAAGATATCTAAAGTGAATCATCTTAATTGTGTGTGATAAAATAAAGAAGAAGGAAGTTCAAATTATATGTAAGACTTGATGCAGGAGGCAAGAAGTTCAAATTATAGGTAAGACTTGGTGACAGCCAGTATAATAACCCCAGAATTCCTGAACCTTGGCTTAATATTTTACTCACATTTACTCGGAGTGGTTTAATGATTTACTCACATTTACCACATTATCTAAATGTGGAATAAAGTTTTAAAAAGCAGAATATATTTTTTTACAGTGTGAAAGGTAAAGAAATAGGGATGTAGCCAGAAAAAGTTGAAATTTTTATGAAATGCCCCTATACATTTAACCACACTGTTGAAGCTAACATGCTTAGGAGTTAGGGTTCAAAATAATAAGTGTTAAATGTAATATGGGATCCTGGGTTGGATCCTGTAACAGGAAAAGCACAACAGGGGAAAGGCTCATGAAATCCCAATAGTCTGCAGTTTGGTTAATGGTTATTGTACCAATGCTAATTTCTTATTCCTGACAAATGTACTAAGGCTATATATAAGATGTCAACATCAGGGCAAGCTGGGTGAAGGATGCCTGGTAATTCTCTGTATTGCCTTTGCAACTCTTCTTGAAAATTATTCCAAACTGAAGTTTATTAAAATATTAGTAAAAGTATAAAGGTGGGGGTCTGAAAGGGAGGTGGATATGAGACTTTTTTCATTATTATCAAACTATGTGAATATATTACATATATAACAAAATAATCAAATCAGATGAAATTAAAAGTGCTTAAAAAATAAGCAAGTCACAAATTCAAGTACAATGCCCATCATTGCTGACAATACTGTTTTCCTTGTGCCTCTGCTTACTTTGCTATGAGGTAACAGAACTCAGAAAGGAGGAAGCAAAAATGGGGAGAGGGGAGCACGCATACACACTCATATACATACACACACACACAAAGAGCAGTTCCTCTGGCTGTTTAAATTAAAAATAGTCACAAATATTTACTAGGCTGCTACTCATTGTTCAACATGCTTGGGATGTAGTCATAAGTCTTCACTAAAAAGTAAGATTTATCCATTTGTCAACCTATTTTAATGCTTGCTCTTAAAAGCGTATCACTGGGGCAAGCAGCCTCCTCAGATGGTGTCCAGTGATTCCTAATTCCTAATATTGAGTCGCTTGTATAATGCCTTCCCTTTGAGTGTGGGATGAACTTGTTGAGTTATATCTAATGAGTAGAATATGGCAGAAGAGATGGGATTTCACTTTGGAAATTAGGTTATTAAAAAAAACTGCATGACCAATGTAATTCTGCAACCTGTACACTCAGAAAAATGAGAAATTATATCCCATCTGATTGAAATGTATGATATGTCAAGGTCAATGTACTGTCATGTGTAATATATATATATGATTTTAAAATCCTAAAAAAAAAAAAAACTGCAACTTCCTTCTTGGGTGCTGTCTCTGAGGAAAGTCAACTGCCACCCCATGGCACAAGCCTTCGGAGAGACCCATGTGGCAAGGAATTGAAGTTTGCCAACAACCACATGAGTGAGTTTGAAAGCAGATTGTGCCCCGAGTTAAACCATGAGATGTCTACAGCCTTGGCTGACATCTTGTGGCCTGGAAACTGCTTCCCAGCCCACAGAAACTATAAATATCTGTTTGTTGTTTCTAGTGACTATGTTTTGAGGTAATTTGTTACAGCAATAGCTGACAAGTGAGACTTCAGGACTGCTGTCTCTAAAGTACACTAGGAGACAATGAGGTGAGTTAGTTCAACATAAATTTGAAGGTATCTTTCATTGATCGTCATAGAGAAACTTCCTATGAGGTAAAGAAAGGCCCAGAAGGGAAAGGAGGTACCCGGGCCAAAAATGAGGCAGCTCCTCAGGAAAGAAAAAACAAGAGGAACAAACGATGAGGAGAAAGAGCATATATATGCCTGGGACCTAAATAAATGAGGCAAATAAGACCTCTGCTCCAGTCAAAGCTAAAGAATGATGCTCGATATGGCACAGCATAAAGGATCATGTTTTCAGTTTACTTACTTGTGCAATTAACGTTTTAAGGGCCAGTAAGCGCCCCTGAGCTGCAGCTTCATGAAGTGGGGATCGATCAGCCCAGCAATCTGAAACACAAATCAAGCTCAGAGTCAAAGTCTAGAGACTTCTTTCTTCAGCTTTTTCATGCTAGGAGGAAAGCAGGTATCATTCATCAAGCTTTCTTGTCAGTTGCTTTCAGAATGACAAGCTACTGAGGGCACCAAGTCTGTTTTTGTCTGGTATGTGCTGAGGGGGTACAGTTGATCTCTCCCAGTTTAAATGAGCACCTGAGAAGGAATCCTTTATTAAAAGTGCCAAAGGACAATCCTTTGTTCAGGAAGAAAACCTACTCTGCTTTGCAAAATCTGGACATTTTTCAAATTATGATTATGTTCTTCATATACTCAATAGGATGTAAAATGATTTGGATTTGACAAAAAGGGCCTCTCTTAACAAAAAGGGTCTCTTCTAGGTAATCTCAATGATGGTAAGAACTCAGGTTTTCTCTGCAAACTTGGCAAAAACAAAATCCCACCAAAAAAAATGGAAGTGTGTGAATTTGAAATAACAAGACCTCAAGGAAAGGGTAAATTTCTCTGATGGGTGAGAATCAAAGTTATACACATTTCATTAAGCCTCCCCCCCACACACACACACACATTGAAACCCAATGTACCTTCTCTCTTTGGATTACAAAAAAATGGGGAAAGCCATACTTTTTTAGCATTGTACATTGAGAAACCCTAAACCCAGCATTCCTTGGAGAAATGGTTGATCCCAGGCCTGCGCTAGAAAAAAAAAAATATAGGCTGGACCTCAATCAGCTTGTCAGAAAGGAAGGAAGTGCTCAAAAAATGATGGGAAATGTTAAAAAGACACAGAAACTAACTTGGAGGGGCCTCTACTGGCTAAATATGGGACAATTTGAACATCAAAATAAACAATGACAATGAGAGATTATATACTATGAAATAAAATAGGAAACTATAAGTTCTCATTGATAAAAGTAATATATACAGACAGAGAAGAGAAAGTGCTTGCTTAGAATACTGATTTTTAAATGTGGAAGAAATGATAGAAGCAGCCTCAAATTATTTCCCTATACAAAAAATACTAATTATATAGAGAATGGGGTAATTATATACAGTGGAACAAAAGCATAGACTACCTTGCCCAGGTGATCAAAGCTGACATAAGCAGTGATAGAACAAATTGGCACTGTGTGTCATTTAATGGAATGCAGTGAACCACATCATATGTCATCAGAGGGAACACAGTGTAAATTATAGACTATTGCTTCCATGATATTCCTTCCCAAAATGACTCTGGTCATGAGGACACTGTGCAGTAACCCAAACTGAGGGGGCATTCAACAAAATAATTGGCCTATAACCAGTTCAATGAGGGACTGAGGAACTGTTCTAGATTTCAGAAGCCTGACAAGACACTACATCTAAAAGCAACACTTAACCTTGAATGAGATCCTTTTATTATAAAGGATATTATTGGAACAGGTGGGTAAATCTGAATAGAGTCTCTGTGCAAAGACAAGTGAAAATTCTTTGTACTGCTCTTGTAATTTTTCTGTAAGTTAAAATTAATTCCAAAATAAAAAGTAAAAAAAAAAAGATAAAGATGAGTAGATAGATGAAATCATTTGTGAGCTCATACTTCTAATATGAATGTGTAATGCTTTTATAATAAAGAAAACAGATAAAAATTTGTAACATGAACATAATTGTGATTGTGTCATCTTCACGTGTTCCTGAGCTGGTTAAGAGTTGATAAATGGACGACCATAAAGAAGAACGAAATTATGGCATTTGCTGGTAAATGGATGGAACTGGAGACTATTATGCTAAGTGAACTAAGCCAATCTCCAAAAAACCAAACACATAATAAGGGAGGTTAGGGAGGGGAAGAATAGAAGCTCATTGAATTGGACAAAGGAGAAGAAAGGATAGGGACAGGGGAATGGGAATAGTGAGGAAAGCACTCTACCAACTGAGCTATATCCCCAGCGGGAATGGGAATAGTAAAAACAGTGGAATGAATCGGATGTAACTTTCCTATATTTGTTTGAATATACAATCAATGAAACTCCACATCATGTTCAGCCACAAGAATGGGAGATTATACTTCATGCATGTATAATATGTCAAAATACACTCTACAGTCATGTATATCTAAAAAGGACAAATTTTTAAAAGTTGATGAGTGGAATATTTTTAAATCTCTTTTGACATTTATTTTCATAAGCTGAAGATAATGAGATAATGTGTGCATATAACCCTGAATTAGTCTGCCTTGGTTTTCCTCTAATGCATCTCCATGTCATTCAATATTAATTGTACTTCACACATTGCCCCTCTTCTAATTGCTCTTGGAGGTGAGCACCAGCACTGGATGGGGCGGACAGTCTTTGCCCACAGTTGGAAACTCAGCACCTAATACAAGAGGCAAAACCAAAAATGCAGAGTTTTTTTAATTCTGTTGTTCTAATATTTTCTTAGTCAATCATAGTCACTTGAAGGAACCACAGGTTGAGCACCTCTAATCTGAATATTGAAATCCAAAATGCTCCAAAATCCAAAACATTTTTTGAGTCCTGACATGATGCCATAAATGAAAAATTGCACATCATGAAAGTGCTTAATACCCAAAATAAACTACTGAATGAAGTTACTTTTAGGCTATGTGTATCAAATGTATATGAAACACAAATGAATTTGGGGTTTACACTGGTGTTCCATACCCAAGATATTATAGATATAGACATAGATGCAAATATACCTAAAATCTGGGAAAAAAATAAAATCCAAAGCACTCTGGTTGTAAGCATTTCTGGTAAGGGATACTAACCTGTATAAGTATTCTATTCAAACATAAAAATAAGATTGAAGTAGCAACTTGCCATTAAAAGAGTTAATTTCAGATATATCAACATGAAACAGCTTTATAATTTCTAAAGTTTTTCTTCATGCAGGCTGTGATGATCGTCCTATTTCACATTCTCGTCATATTTCAGATTTTCCTGTAACTTTCTGTGACTCATTAGTCCCATAAGACCCGATCTATATACAAAGATGGAGAAACCTCAGAAGCCTAATGTTGAGTGAAAGAAACAAGACACAAAAGAGCATGTGCTGAGTAAGTCTGTTTGAGTGAAGGAGAGGAGGACAAACTCACCTTGGGTGTTAAGATATCAAATCAGAGACTCTGCGTCTGATAGAAGAAAAAGTTGGCTCCGATCTACATATTGTGGGGTCAGGCTCCAAATTCCTTAATAGGACACCCATAGCACAAGAGTTAATAACAAGAATCAACAAATGGGACTTACTTAAACTAAAAAGTTTTTTCTCAGCAAGAG